CTTTATCACCAACCAAACACGTCCAGAAACAGAAAAAAAAAAAAAGACATTATCGACCAACAACTCATCTTTTCATATAAACCAGATCTCGACTACTTTACTAAAATAACCAACGTAAAAGGCAATCACAAAATGATTCACAGAGCTAGCACTTCTCAAATGAAAGAATCAAATTGAAAGAACAAAGATAGCAATTTTAAAAGAAAAATTATAGTAAGACAGAAAAAAACTAACCCCATTTTGGCTGGTGCGAGAAAAGCTGCACTGAGACTGAAATCTGGAAGTAAGAGATTGAGACGAGAGAAAGAGCCGGCTGGTGCGAACTGAAACCCTAACCCTAACAATTGATTTGCCTTTATATATGTTCATATTGTTTATCATTAGGGTTTTAAAGTTTCTAACAGTAGGGTATTATAGTCATTTACCTTTGAACATGTAATTTTTATATTTTGATATTTACGGTTTAAATTTCTTAATTTGGAAATTAATTATCTTTGTTAATGCGAACATTGCACACAGATACAAATAACTTAAAAAGTAATGGAACCCATTTAATTTATAATTAGTTCTATTTTTTATGATTTTAAGCTTATATACAAATTTTTTAAAATTAATTATTTATAAAATTTAAGATTTTGAGTAGTTTGACAGAAATAGTGCTCTAATTTTAATGGTATTACGGATTTGTCCTATTTTCAATCAACCGTTGAGATTTGAAATCCAGCATAAAGCGTTTTTCAATATTACCCGTGTCGAGATAATTAAGATGGCTTTGAACATGAGAAAAAATAATGGAATTTTTTAAAATATATTTTTTTTAATTAATTTTTTCACTAATGTATTTTTTAATTATATAATAAAAAATAACTCTATTTTATTTTATAAATTTCACCGTCGCATAATTCAAACTCTCCAAATTAGAATCTCTGACTTATTTTCTTTTTGACTTATTTTCATCTTTAATACTCAAAATGCATTTATTTCATTGGATGTATTGAATTATTAATTTTTCAAGCCATTTTAATTATATAATATATGACCTTTTCATAAAATTATAAGCTACTGTATATATTCAATTTAAGATCAAATGCCATTATTATTTAATAAAGCATTTTGATAAGTTCATAGATATTATATAAATTGTCAACGTACTCTCTTTTTTCAGACCATGATGTATTGATGTTTAGAAAAATTGAAATCATTATTTCCCTTTTTATAAGGAATTAAATTTATAATTGAAAATTAAAATTATAATCAAACAATTTTTAATACATATGAGAAATGGAAATCAATCAATTAATGTAGAACTAGAATAATATCCATGTTATTTAACGAGATTTACAATGAATAAACACTTTATTGTAATAATACCATGATTTTTTAATGTTTAATTAAAAAATTTTATAAACATTTAATGTTAAAAATTGTAAATAGTATTACATATAGTAGTAATAGCTCAAAATGAGTATATATTATAATATTTATAATTTTATCTTAACTCATTCTTCAAAATTAAAAAGTGTCCAAAAGATAAATTATCTGTCCAAACTCACGATTTTGACTTACTTTGAGTTATGTTTAAGCATGGATTTTTATATTTAATTTCAATTTGATGGTTTTAGGTTAAGAAATTAATTTCTTATCCAAAATTATTAATTTTGTTGAAAAATTTTTCCTCAAAATTTGTTATTTGAAACTAGAATTTAAGGTGATGTAAAAATATTTTTGACTTAATTACTATATATAAAAAAATTTAATTTTTTTCTTATTTTTTAAATATTAAATTTTATCAAAATGAGACAAATTATTGCATTCACAAATCCCATTCTAAAATTTTAATAAGTTATTTTTTTTAGTCAAATATTGATTTTTATTAAATATCAATGAATTTTATTAAATGTTTGAACATGAATAAATTTGTTAAAAGGGCATTTGTATCTTAAAATATTTAAGTGCTTTTCATTATAATTTTTTTAATAAAGTGTTAACAGTCGAAGATCGAAAAAATGATTTTGAAACAAAAAAAAAACTACTTCTCTTCTAGAGATGTTTTGAAATGACTTTTTAGTTTTTACTGTATGATTGCCCCAACTTAAGTTGATAAAATTTAAATTATTAATATTTTTGCTATTGAAAAACATATTAAATTTCAATTATATAAAAAAAATTTGTATAAAAAACAATTATCCTATATTTCATAATAATTCAAGTTCCAATATTATTTTTTTAAAAAAAATTCAATACTATACATCTATTTTGTAATTCAAAATTAAATATCTACATTCAATAAAGTTAAGATGTTAAAATTTAAAAGAGGTAGTGCTTGAAAAAAACTTAAACTACTTAAAATTTTAATTCGTAATTTTATAATACTTGTGCGCCTATGTTTAAATACGTTATATTGATATAATATAATAATATAATTTTAAAATATTTTTTATCTTCACATCGACATTGACATTCACCTTATTATATGATATAAGATAATAAATAATATTTTAATTAATAATAATTAATTATAAAATACTATCCGATCTAAAATTCACTCAAAATGACATAAATTAATTATTAAAATTAAGATATTTCTTACATTCAAAATTAAAAACATTAGAGTTAAAATTAAAATATCTCTTCAAAGACAAAATTCGAAATCAAGACAAAGAATGAAAATTAAAACATATATGTTAAAATTTCTAATGTCAATGCTTTAAAACTTAAATAAAATTTTAAGAAATATACAAACTCAAAAACATATACAGAAAAAGGAAGTAAATACATCTAATTAACCAAATTATTAACTGAGAACACACCTAACCTCCATGCGTTATCTCCAACAAAGAACAAATTAAAAAAATACACAAAGATCTAAAACAAACACACCAAGAGTTGCTTCATCAACATTAAAACGAAAAACAAAAAAATAAAAAATAAAAAATAAAAAAATTAAAATAGCAATTGCTATCCAACTAATACATAAATGGCATATATTATCCCAGGTATATAACCCAATATTGTCAGCAGCAAATCTATCCAGAACTCCACCTGCAAATCCCAAACTTTATAATTTTAGATAATCAATCAATTTAATCACAATATTTTTTCCTTTTTTTTTTGTTTGAGATAAATGTGATTAAGAAATGCATTCTGATTAAGAAACAAATTATTTTCCGATTAGTTCATTTCGGAATTCGAATCTGAAAACTTTGAATTAAAAATTAGAATTATACCTATTTAAATATTGTTTGAGAATAGTAAAATTAACAAAAATAAACATAAAAAAATTAAAATATTTCAATATTTAATTTATAGATTAATGCATGATTTTCAATTTAAAGAGCAGAGTTTGATTTTTTTTTAAATATAAAAATAAAAATTAAATAAATATATATATACATATAGATTAAGAAAAGAAAATGAATTTACCCCACAGCCATAACGAAGGAAAACTCCAACAGGGGGAATGAGAATTGCAAGAATAACTTCCAGGAATGTCTCTGAACCCATTTGCAAAATGAAACAGTTTTTTTTTTCTTCTTTTCTTTTTTTTTTAATTTTTTGGGATTTGCTTGCAAGTTGTAAAATTGGAGGAAAATTTATAATATGCTAAAATTAGGAGAAGGATTGTTTTTTTGTTTGTTTGTTTGCTGAAAAAAGCAGGTGGCAAAATTAGAAAGACAAAGACTGACACGTGGTAATTGATTGACACGTGTATTGGTTTTCGCCGCTTTTCTAGTGTTCTTCCTTTGACTCGTGAAAAAAATGGCTACTAAACGTGTTGGAGGTTCATGACTCTCATCAGGCATAACTATGTGAAACAGCATTTACTTTTAAATTTTATAAATTTTGATACATTTTTCATGTATAATATTTATATAACTAATTCTAACCTCTAAAATATTATTTTATAAATACAAAAAATTTAAAAAATTGTTTAAATTAAAATTTTTTAAATATTTATTTTTAAAAAATTTTAACTTCTCAATTTAGAGTCAATTTGGAATGGATGACATTTTTTTAAAAGAATGATTTTATAAAATCTAAGTGTTTGGAAAGTGGAAAAGTTATTCTTCGTATAAAATGTATTACAAGTCAGCAAGAAAAATATTTCTCAACTATTATTTCTCAACTAGGTGCAACATTTAATTTATAGATATATATATTTAGGCAAATCTTGTGAGTGAGAATGTGCATGAAAAAAGACAAAATTTGGATGCTGAGATTTCCTATTGGGTTTTGTTGCCCCATAGGTGGATGGAGCCTTCAGGGAGGAGAAGTGAGATACTGGTATCGATTATATAAAATTTAGTTGAGAATTCAGAATGATCACAAAGAACAAGAGAAGGACACTGAAACCTTGATGGAAATAGACCTCAAGGGTTAAGTCTGGCTTGTTCACTAACAAATGCAGTTCGATTCAGTAAGAAAATGTGCAGGCCAAGAGAGCATCAATGACAGAGCCCTATGCTGGTACAAATTCTAAAAACCTGGGGCAGTCAAGGGAGTTTTGCTCCAACAAGTTTCACTTAGAAAAGCCTGCTGTACCAATGTGTTAGGGCCAATGGTAGGTGCAGATATTTCTCATTGAACTAAAAGAGTTTGCTGTTAATTTCTGTTGATACGGATCCTTACAATCATGTTATTTTGTGTTCAAAGATGCAATTTACGGGCACAGCTTGGATCAGGAAGTTGACAGAACAACCACAATCGGAACACTACTGCTGGGAAACGGAGATACACAAAATGCCAGAACTCCATCAAGATAAACACTTAACTGAAAATGATAACTGCAATAATATCAGGAGATTAGACTAAGGATCACAATACATCAGGCAGAACATCTTGGATAAGATCAATAGTTAACTTGTCTCATAAAAACTAACATATGAATTATATGAAATAGCATGATACCTGATGAAGAAAAACACTAGATTCAAACAGCATAAATTTTAAAAAAACAGCTTCTTGCAGCTTCTTCAAGGCTCAAGCAGCATTTACGAGTTTAATTCAGTCATAATAAAAAAAAGAAGTCAATCAAACCAGGGTTTCAATTGGTTGGCAGAGCAGAAATTATAGATATAAATGACAAGGATTTGTTCCAACTGAATTCGCACATATTATAGAATGAGGGAGGCAAAATTCTCCCCCAGACGAAGAGGATGGTGAAAATTATCAGCCACTGATATCAAGGCTGATAAACTTCAGGAAGCTGAAGGCCAACACTAGCAGCTGATTTTCCAAGTATTCTTTTCATTTCATCTGACCTATCTACCGCTATGTTGTAAGAGAACAATAAGTCCTGCCAAATAAGTATCAAAACCAGAAGAAAATCACATACATTTCTACAAAAAAAAAAAATTCAGGCATTCAAAATGAACAAGAATGAAGCATTAAGTGGTAGCATAAACAGGTATAAATTACCATAGTCCATACAAGAAACATGAGAAAAACCAGAGAAATCATAACTATATCCTCATTAGAGAAACCAATGACAGGCATCTTAAAGCCTTCTATTAATCAATTGACAGGTCTTACAAGAAAATTTCATGACTTTCATACATCTTTAAATTAGCAAAACCATGCCATATTCCCACAACAGATCCTCCAATAACCAACACAAAACCAGGATATTTAGGCTACTTTGGATTGTTAGTTTTGCTGTTTACTTCTTGTTTTAAGAAGCAAACAGCAAAAACAGGTTTGATTATAAAAAATAAACAATGTTTCTGAACAATTAGAGATAAGACAATTTACCTTTTGTGAATAACAAAGTACATAATTTCACTTATACAACAAAAAAAAAAACTTATTTTGAATAGTTTTACATATTAACAAATCTTAAAGAAACGCAAAACATTCAATAAAAAACAAAAAACAACAATTAGCAAAACCAACAATCAGCATAGCAGACAACATTAGATATGTGAGACTAAAACCAAAGCAGTGGAAGGTAGCAATACCTTGTGATGATGCACACTGTTAAGTAAAAACGTATAATCATTGGCAAGCCTGATTTTTTGGGTAACCAAAGAAGGGTCTGAAAGTTGACAGTTTTTCCTAAATTCTTGTGTAACATACTCACGAAAATGGTTCTTGTACTCTTCATTTCCAATGTGTTTTTTCACTGCTTTGAGAAGGTCACGATATACTTTAACTGCTGCCAAAGCTTGTTGAGAACTCATTGTCAAGCCCTTCAATCTCTATATATGAAAAAATAAACTTTGCAATGTTAAAACTAACTCTCTCAGGACTTTTACCAGACAGTTAGAAGAAATGCTGTAAGTCTCCTTGAATTTTGAGTTCCAACCAATTGTAGTATAGATTTTGAGAGAAACCCAGAAATTCCAATGGTTTAAACTAAATATTAACACAAGAAAGTGAAAGAAAAAAAAACCCAAGCAGAGAGAACTGAAGACAGAATTCACCTTAGATCAGAGTTGTTCTTTTTTCCTTTTTTTTTTTGCTTTTATTATTTTTGTTAATTATTTATTTCCTTTATTTCTACATAAAAGAGAAAGAACTAAAAAAGCCCAAGTCATTTCTGGAAAAGGGCCCAGCCCATTTTTGGGTTTTGTTATGATCCTTCGTGGTTGAACGTTGATCAAAGCAAAGTTAGCAAACTTGAGAAACGAAAGACAAAATCAGATCTTCTCATTGAAGAAGAAGAAGAAAGAGGAAATCAAGTAAAAGCGAAAATGTCAAGAGAGAAGCCTAAAAGAGCCACTCTTCCTCCTGTTCAAGAGGTATTCTTTCTTTTATTTTTCTTATCATTGCTTTCAATAATTTGTTTTTGTTCTGTTGAAGAAAAATGGAGTGACCCATCTGTTTGTTTGATGAGAAACTGAGGGCAAACTGATAATTTTGAATTATTTGAAACATTTTCATATTTGGGTCCTAAGGCTTTGTTTGTCTGGTAAGAAAACGGGGGTGGAGGCTGTTGGGTGGAAACTTTCATTTAAAAGAAAGAAAATTTTTTCATCTCTGGGTTTTACATATTAAGTGCTTTCTTATATTCTAGATGTGGAAAAATTGTAATCTTTGAAGAGAAAAAAGCTTTTATTTTTTAAAAAAATTAAGAGAAAACCATTATTGCAATTTTTTAAGTTGAAGGGAGGAGTTTTTTAACTATGGTTGGACTTAATTTTTACGGTGATGAATGATTCCTAATAGCATTGATTTTTGCTTTTGATATTAAATGCAGAATATTGATAAATTAGATAAAGCTATAAACGCGGGCAATTTCTATGGAGCTCAGCAGATGTACAAGTCTATTAGTGCACGGTATGAGGGTCTGTCAATTTCTCAAATTTATCGCAGCGAGCGATTTGAATTTTCCATTTTTGTTCTTCAGACCATGTTCCGTATTTTCTTTTGCTTTGAAAGAATTATCATTGATTATGAAACATTCATATTTGTTTCAGATATGTGTCTGCTCAAAGATATTCTGAGGCCTTGGATTTGCTTCATTCAGGTGCATGCCTCCAGTTGAATCATGGCCAGGTTATCATTTTGTTCCAAGTACATTGATCCTGAGTTTGTTAGTCAAGGTTTTTCGCAAAGTTATATGCGAAAGCATCATGAAGGTGAAGTTGAATCTGGTTGTTTGAAATGTGGCTTCTGAATGAATTGGAGGATTGGCTTAAGCTTAGAATCTGGATTATTTGAGATTGGGATAGTATAGTGTAACAATTAGATTGAATCAAGTATAAGATGACATCAATTCAGTAATTGCAAATATTTCATGATTAACACCCTTTACATTCATGGTTGATCTTCCTCTTAGTCGAAATATAACGTAAGATGTAAGAATGATGCAAATTAGTGCAGCAAAGGCTAAATATATTAGCTATCTTGTGGAGCTCAATATTCTATGATAGAAAGGCTAAGAACTTTCCTTTTAATATATTTTATTGGATTTTACTTGATAATACTCATTAAAGATTGTGCTGCAATGGAAACTAGAGGCTATATGAAATTTGCTTGAGGAAATTTATTGTGCTGGTCTTTTGGATTGTTGTTCTTTACTTTGTAATCCATTGCATTGAAGTCATGGGGATGAATATTTTCAGGTTACTTGTGGGGCAGAGCTTGCAGTCTTGTTTGTTGAGACACTTGTCAAAGGGAAAATTCCTTTTGATGAAGATATCCTTGGTCAGTACATGCCTTGTCTTGTAATTTGATTTCCTTATAAGCACAAGTTGTGATGAATAGTTTATTGATTCTCGCTTCTCTTATTCTGGCGACTTAAGTATCTTTTATACGAAAAAGAAAAACCTTGAAGCTATATACCGTTTTATATAAAGGCTTCCGTGTTTACTGACCATAGCTGTTTGGTGCATTTAATTCTGCTACTTCTGTTGTTGTGATTGTGACAAAATGTAAATGGTAGACCGTGTCAGGAAAATCTATAAGATGTTTCCTCAGATTCCAGTGCCTAGTAACTTGGGGGATGATGATGATGTTCAAGAACTTGCTGAAGCGCTTGGGGCAGCAAAAACACGTGTTGAGGGCTGCTCATCATTCTTACGAGCTGCTATAAAGTGAGACATCATTATATATAGTATACTGTTGAAGTTACCATTGATGGTTATATAGAAAATAATGCATTTTCACATCTTAGTCTGGGCTATTTTCTCTACATTTCTTTACAGTTAAACTGTTGAAGGGATCTCCTAATTGTACATCAACATCAGCTACTTTCTTTCTTTTAATGAAAGATACTGCAACATCTCATTATGTGTGGAGGCATAAGATTAGGCTGTTTATGATCTTACGTTTTAATTAGTAAGATAATATACAATTGAAGGATATGATAACAGGAGACAGAATAAAAGTTTTTTTTTTTAATTTTAATTTTGAACAGTGTTAAGTAGTAATGCATATTTGCCCTGAACTGTTTTTCTTATTTTGGATTTTAGGTGGTCTGCTGAGTTTGGTGCTCCCAGGAATGGTGATCCACAACTACATGTGATGCTGGCTGAATACATATATTCTGAATCTCCTGAGTTGGTAGGTTTGGGAGTAAATGTTTAGGCTTTGGTTTTACTACTTCAATCACACATTTGTTCTTGTCCCTTGCCCACCTTGCTTTGAATCAGTATCATGAAGTTTCTCTTTATCCTGATTTACAAGGTGAAGAGAAATGCAAAAATACGTTATATTTTGATGGTTTGTACAAGGCATGCATTGTACACTAGTGACCAACTTAAAGTTGTGTAAGAAATTGCATTATTATTACATGAGACATTCATTTTTTTTTTTTTGCATGTGTGCCTGCACACCAAAAAGATAAAATAAGAAAAAAAAAGTGTTGCTTATCAAAAAAAACAGTGTTGTTAAGAGTACTTTATCTTATAGTGTATTTGATGAGGCAACAAAATATGTTTGAAGCAAGTCTATTTTATTTAGTGTTTGGGTTGAATATAGTTGCTTTCTAGGATTTTATGATGTGATATCATGTCTGAATGTCAATATTCTAAGGGGCGTGCTTGTGTATCTCAACAATCATGTGATGCTTCTTTTTGCAGGACATGGCTAGAGTGTCATATCATTTTGTTAGAGGAAACAACCCAAAGAAGTTTGCGTCTACCTTAGTGAATTTCATGGGCAAGGTTAATTTTCTTCTCATTCTCACTCCTTCTCATGAATATGGTTTGAGGCACACTAATAGAATCATATTTCCTTGTGTAACAGTGCAATATATAACGGCTGAACATTAATATAGATGCATAATAGTTTGTTTGGTAGATATATTACGGAAAATATCAATCATCTTGAGATTTGGTCGCATGTTACTCCTGCAAGGGAGATTCTACATCTAAGCCTATTACTTATTATTATTGAAATTATGTATCAGTTCTAAGACTCTTTTCTATCATTCTCAACTGAGCCTTTGAATCATTCAAAAGAATTAAGCTATAGAAATCTGTTCTTTACTTCAATGATGAGTTCTTAAATAATTCAAAATTTTGGGTTGAGAAACTATGCTTATTTAAGGAATTAAAGGATTAAACTATTGGTTGTTAAATATGCATGGAAGATGGCATAACTCAATCAATGTTCTTCTATTTCAAGTTCCAAGTCTACCAATGACTCTAGGTTTTACATTTCCTTTGATACTTATTTAATGCGATTAACTGATATGCTTTTCAACATGCAGTGTTATCCTGGTGAAGATGATATAGTCATTGCAAGAGCAGTTCTTATGTAAGCCTACTGAATAACTGCTCACTTGGCCTGTGATTTTATTGTTCCTATTGCCACTACTGTTGAAGGCTCAATCAATAATACGGAACCCTGTAATCTTGACCTTAAGCTTAAATTGAAAAATCTATGGTCAACAATGTATCATGTCTTCCATTGTTTCCCCTTTCAAAGTGGTCCCTTGTACTTTTATAAAGTTAAATTGATATTTTAACATTCCATTTTGGCAGCATTAGAAAAAATGCACTAAGCAATTTCAACATATATAGGAGTTTCTTTATCTAATTTCAAAAAGTATGAAAATTTCCTATTGATAACAAAAGCAGATTGGATGATGGGATTAAAACTTTGGATTCATCGCTTGATCTTCTAGCATATTTTGATTCATGTGAGTAGGCTAAACAAAATCCATGAATAAAATCATTCAACTGAGTTATACTGATGTGCTGTGTTTTTGTTCTATGTTTCTTTTGTCACATAAATCAGTTGAATTTTCCTATGAGACTGTTATAGATTTCCATAAATGATAGTGATTTTTGTTTTTTCTCAATCTTGACACATTCATACTTGGCAATAAAGTGAGACGGTTACTTTTTCTTGTAATTTAGTATAAATTGTGTACTAATGAAGCAAATTTACTTTTGCACGATAGGTATTTGTCTATGGGTAATCTTAGAGATGCTAATTACCTTATGGATGAATTAAAGAGACAAGTGACATCCCAGGAGCTTGATTTCCCCCAATCGGATTTGGTTCAGTTTATCACTTTTCTCTTGCAAACGTAAGTTATTTTCTTTTGTTCCCTCATCAATTCATTCTCCATCTATAGGGAGGGAACAGTCCTATCATCCTTAATGCAAGTAGGTCTGGACGCAATGCTGTTGAATATAATGTGTAGTAACAATGCTGATATTACTGCTCCGCTTTGTCATTTTAGGGAAGTTGGTGTCCTCTATAATCTAATTAAGGTTGATATTAATGCATTTACCTCCACCTTCCGACTGGCATAAATTTACACCAATACAGAGAAATTTTTTGGGGGATTAGGGGAAAGAGCTGGGGAATCAGCACTGCATCTTTTCTTTGACCAAGTCTGTAAGTGGTCAAACAAGGTTTATGAGCTTGGATTGAATTTCCTTGCATTGGGTATAGTTACTGATAACGGAAAGTATAACCAAACCTCCCTTCATCTCCAAACCATACCGTAACTGTTTTTTTGGTTTTGGTTTGGTTTGGGGAGCTACATAAACAACAAAATGCAACCATGATTGTTAGTAATGCTAGTGTTTTACATTTTAACTCATCAAACGAAATCATCAATTAAAAACACTATGGTCAATTTTGGGCTTAAAGGTAGGCTACAATATTCTTTCCATGTTTGATATGCAAAACACGGTCTAATTTCATCTGAAGACACTTTTATACTGCAGGTTGGAAAGAGATGCCTTGCCACTTTTTAATATGTTGAGAGTGAATTACAAGTCTAGCATAGACAGAGAACCTGCATTCATTGAGGTGGGCAATCATTTTTGCCAATTAGAATACTTGTCTCTAATTGTTATTTCCTCTCCTGTAAAACAAGTTTTCCACTTTATTTTCAGTTCCCAACTGGGATTTAACTGTTTTCATATATCTGCTAAGTGGCCTTTATTTATTAATTTCTTCATCCCTTTGGCTTAGAGTAAGCTTACATGTATGGGATTCTAACACAAACTTGGTGGTTCAGTTGCTAGATGACATTGGAGAAAAGTTCTATGGTGTGCGGCGTAGAAATCCCCTCCAAGGGATGTTTGGGGACCTATTGAAGGTGATCATCTACATATCTAACTGAAACTCTTTCAACTGTTATGCTTGCTTGCATTTTAAGAAATTCCTGGCATAAAAAGCCATCTTATTGAATAAATCGTCTGTGAACTGAAGATTGAAAGCTTATTACCTGGTTCAATGCAATTAGGCTCTGTATCTTTTATCTATCTACCTTGCATTGGATAGGTATGTGAGGCTACTTTTCAGTTAACAACTTCTTTTCAATTATAAACGTCCCAAAAATAACATTGGCCTTTTAAGAAACAGAAACTAAAATATGTTTCTGTGAAGGATTCTCACCTGGAATGCTTTTAACTTATTATTTATGCAGATGATGTGATGAGTAATAACATGGCAGCAGCTCAAATCGCTTGGTGCCTTGACACATCCCGCATGCTGGTTTCATTGTGCCTTTGACTTGGAACTTTCGGATTCGTTTGATACTTGAGAAATAATTTCTTTTTATGCCAAAATATTTGAAATACTTGTAATATTATTTCCCATTTACCGGGGAGTCTTATCCTGTAAACCAAGAAAAACTATAGTTATTGCTTACAGTACAAAATCTTTACCTTGTACACTAGATGGAATCATTCTTGGTTAATCAAATTTTGCCTCTTCCATTGTCTTATTTGCCTTATCCAGTAGCTCACAGTTATTAAGGTTGAATTGTTTCATTCCCATTTTTCCTTTAAAAAAACTGTGAACATGTAGTGTTGATTAAACCAACTCAGACTGTGACATTAACAAAAGTGTTAGCGCAATACTCTCCTACTAGCAGAATTCATGGGCTTCAAATGATGAATTTGCACTCCTGGCCCTGCTCTTTTCTCACATTGCAGGATATCACTTTTTCCCCTTGCTTGTCTATGCAGATGGATGTTCTCTAACAGCAAATCTTTGCCATTTTTCTTGACGTCGCCACACCTTGGGTTTATGGCTTTTATGAAAGAAGGTTTTAGAGCAGAACCACCTATCTGTATTGCAGCCCTCTAGAGCCGCTTCAAGGTTACTGCTAGCTCTATGCCACAAAAGGGTCATTGCTTTGGCAAGACCAAGATCCCTGCTGATTTCATTCATGCACCCAGAGTACTTTATTATCAGGAAAGGGTCCGATGGTAGGCCAAAGTATGTTCATTTCACTTAGTAATTTCTGGGAAAATCGATTGATCTACAAAATGAACATTGGATGTTAATAATCACAGTTGCAAATATACAGACATAAAAGACTGGAATTAAAAAGAAAAGCAATCCAACAGGGCAGCATACATATAAGTATTTGGGTCTGTGGCTGGATTCAACAACTTGCTGTCAAGAAAGATGGCAATGAAGTTTTTCAAGTCATACAGTGTCCTCCATTGTGATGTGATGATAGAAGCAACATTTGGGTGTTAAACAATGAAGGGAACTGGACCAAACTATTAAAACATTGGACCTTTTGCAGGATTTAAAAGGATGTCTAGGTTTTGGCAAAATGGTAAGGTATTCCTTTATGACCTTGATACCAGTTACTGATATCAGGACTAAAACCAGGAAGGCTCGGGATCCTCTTCAGGTTCACACATACAAGGAGAGTCTTGTTGTTATGGGTAGAGTAACTAAAACTCTAGCGATTCATGCCATCTAGCTAGTTGTTGCTTTGTTTTAGTTTTATACAAATATTTACAGTTTCTGTAATCCTTGTAAGGACATGTTTGTGCATGGTTAGTGAAAAAGGGCATGAAGGCTTTTTGTTCTTTCAATCCGAACAAGGCGTATGCCTGTGAAAGAGGTGTCTTTAGTTCTCAAATGCCATAGCCCCCCAAACTGTGTAGTGCATGGTTGTTTCCTCCTGTCAAGGTTGTCCAAGAACCCTTGCTCATTACTTCCTTCTGTTGCTTATAGGTCAGACACATGAATGTCCACATGACAAAAATAATGATAAAATCATTTAGCTTTTTAAACTGAAATTTTCACTCTAGTTAGTCTTTATCAATAATCTCAAAGAGCAAGACTTTGGCAGCTACAATTCCTCCCTCATATTTACTATATATGAAGCGAAAGGAATCAGAGGAAGTTTGTCAGATTGGCAAGAGGGGAATAACACTCCTAAGTTTGTCAGTATCAATACCTTTGTCTGCACCATGCCAATTTCTGATTTTTTCTTCCTTTTTACAATTTTTCTGTTTATTTTTTGCTTCATTCTAATCAAATGACTCTTATTGGTCTTGCTGCTTTCTAATGGCAGCTTGTTCCTTTGTTGTAGGACTTCCCTGCTTGCTTTGGATGAATATGAGAAAGAGAGAGAGACTATTGAAAGCACTCTTACTCCATTAAACTTTTGGTAATAGAATTACTGTCTCAGACTGAATACTAAATGATCTGCGCTTAAAATTCTATAACTAAATCCCCCCTGAAATCAATGGCTTCAATCTGCTTACTTAGAACATCGACTTCATTCTCAAAACTAAATAAATTTTCTTTGTCATCTGAATGCGGCTGATTTTCCAAAGGGTGTCCACTAGCATCTTCATTCTGATTCAGAGATGAATTCACAATTTGGTTGGCATGTCCCTGGCTGTCAGGTCGAATGACTTCTTTTGAATAAGATCCCAGACCATCAGTTTTCAAGCCATTTCCACTACTCCACTCACAGGATGAATCACTCCCAGCCATGAAACTTGTGGCAAGAGAGCTTGTAATGGTCCCAGATAATGTAAATTCTTGACAAGCTTTTTCTCCTTCAAGCTGGATAGTACAACAAGGCTTGATACCCTTGGAGGTTTGGTTTCCCGTTTGTTGAGAACCCATCTTTCTCTCCTTCATATTGCTAGACCTTGTTGATGTTCTTGGTGGTTGAAGTTTACCAACTCTGCCTCTATTTGAATTGCCATTAGGATGATGCAGAACATTTCTAAGTTTAGAAGTACTTTGCATACCAGAATGAAATTTTAGACCTCCATTTGGGGTTAATGCACTAAAATTTTCCTGTTAGCAGAATGATGTCATTCAACAGGAAGAATGTGAGGGAAAACTCAGTGATACTGACTAACCAATGGAATAAAGCAAATAGATAAGAAACCAATGGAATAAAGCAAATAGATAAGAAAACAAACAGAGAGCAACTAACCACATCAAAAAATCCAATCTTTGGTGATGGCATTCGAAGGCCAGAAGGTTTTATTTCTCTTGAAACAGCTGGAGGTAAAGGACTACTTTCCTTTGAGAATCCATTAACATCTTGATATGCCAACCTTGTTTTTTTACTTTCATTTTGAACAAAGGGTTGATCACAAGATCGATTCTTGGTATGTGATCTTTGAGAAGCAGCAGAAACCCCTCTTCTGAAAGCAATATCCACGCTTGTTGAAAAATTGCTAGATACGTAATTCCTAGAAGTTGATGATTCAGCAGACCAGCAACCAACAGAGCTAGAAAGTGATGTGCAAGAGGAGTTCGGTGTGGATGGTAAATGAGTAAGTTGAGTAGAATCCAACAGTTTGTTTTTGCTTCTACTTAAGGATCTACAAGGAGTCCTAGAGCTTGAATCACAAGCAGCCAAATTATTCTTTCTTCTCAGCGAATTTGGAGACTTAGCAATTGGAGTAGACTGAGTGCAATCAGATTGTCCAAAATCTCTGGAGGCAATGCGCCAACGTGAAGAAACTGGTTCTGGAGATAGTGTTAAACTGGGAATAACACTACCTGAGTCACCAAAACAAGGCTTCTTTGTCATAATTTGTCCTGTAAAAGTCAAACAAGAATTCTGAATAAACTTTATCTTAAAGGAAAACTAAGCGAGAAAATAAAAATTTATGGCAATGTTTACCAGATGCAGCTTTTCTGATTTTTTTTTCCATTTTCAAGTGGTTTGCACCCAAAGATGCCCTTTTGGTTGCAGCAGCTGATAGAGGGTTGGCCTGGCTGAATTTCTTCGACAGCTTAAGGGAAGATGAAGTATTCTGTTCTCCACATTGAGTGGCATGCTTTTTGGTCCAGCAAGTAATGATATCAAGTCAGTCATATCTAAAACTCTTGTTCATAACAACTCAGCTATGCATTGATAATGAGGGAAGACGAAGCAATCACTGTAAAGGCCTGGTATAGCTTATGTATCATTGTCACAATTTCACTACACTCAACTGACATACCTGTGCTCGTGGGGGATTGGTAGCTTCTTTTGCTATCTTTGCCCCTCCATGCATGCTAACAGTTTGCCTTCTGGAAGCTGGCAAGGGTTTAATTTGAAATTTTGTAGTATCCAGCCTTTTTGAAGCTGCAAAAAAGCAGCAGCTCTGATAAGTGTAAGGGGAAAAAACCCAAGAACCAAATACATATCATCCACAAATGCACAAAATGATTAGACAACATACATCTAGTTATTATTATTAAACTAGGAGGATGACTTTCTTCCATGGTAATCCTAACTAAGCCTCTAGTATGCAAGTTACATGCACAAAGAAAAAACACAACTTTACAATCAAACCTAGAAGCCTAAAATGCATCAACATGTAAACTTGACATGAATGATTGCATCCATTAAGTTCCGCGTGAAGATATAATCAAAGCAGCAGATACTTACAATGGGGATTTTGTCTGCCTGTTTGGCTTTGGAGGTTGGAACTTGAATTTACCAAATTGTATGCTTTGCTTGATTTGTGCATGGATGCCCTCATATCATCAAAAAGATCAAACTCAAGACTTGCCAAGGAGTAATCACTATCTATTGTAGAGTTTGAGTCAGCAGACTTCCAAAATTCTTCTTCGATTCCAGGAAGTATATGATTTTGTGTTTCAGACTTCTTATATCCTTTGTTAACCATAGACAACTCTTCCGGATCCAATACCCCTAAGCATGAAAAGAATTAGTATCAACTAGAAAAATATATGAGGCAAAATAGCTAAAAGACTTGTAAAGAAGCATACCTGCACTAGTAAAAAAGGCACTATCCCAAGCTAAACTTCTTCTGACAAAACACTCACCAATTCTACTTGCCGCCAAGGACTCAGAAGGTAAACCATTTGCTTCCTTGAGATCGGATTGAGAATCTCCATTGTCTCCATCATGAAAATTCAATGTCTCAAACAACTCTTCAGGATCCAAAACTCCTGAGAATATGAACCACTTGCAATTCAATCAATCATGAATGACATGAAAAGCCTTAAGAATGATATAAAAGCACTTAGAATTTTTTCAGTCCTAAAACAAAACCTGGACTTGTGAAAAAGGCACTATCCCAAGCCAAACTCTTGCGCAAATCATACTTAGACTTGAATCGGTCAGGCTTTTCTTGTTCTCTTTGCCATGGTGCCTCTTTTTCAGCCTCAATCAGCCTAAATCCATCAATATCAACCTTCTTTCTGTTCCTTGAAGCCTCTGCTAAATTAGCAGTTCATCAACAAATCCATTTATATAATATATATATATATATATACGTACAAAAAGAAAGGGAATGATCAATCAAATTAATCCTGATATCACTCCAACTTCAAGGATTTAAACATAAATTTTTGCAAAATAATTCAATCAAATTCAATCCTACTATCATTTAAAAAAACAAAATGATTCTTTTTCTGTAATGGAATTGACTAAATTTGAAGATCGTCAATTTATTCTTTCCTAAAAATTTATTATTTGCTGATAGATAATAAAACCCAAGAATTTAAAACAAGAAAAAAAAACTAAGAATCACAAAGAATTCAAGGAAGTGTTTATTATCTTTCCTCTGTTTTTCCTCTGCTTTTCTCAACATCCAAACAAAGAAAATAACCAAAACCCAAAAGAAAAAACGTACCAGGGAGTTGAAATTCCCGCAAAACATTTCTTTTAGATGACATTCCTTCTTCAAGATTTCTTTTTTTAATTTTTTTTTCTTTCTGGTCTTGGAGTCATATAAAGAGAATAAAAGAGAAAGAAAGAAACAGAGAGAGAGAGAGACAGAGAGAGAGAGAGAAAGAGAGGGAAAAGTGAAGAACTTTTAAAAAATTTAGGAATGAAAAGATTTTAACTGATCAAATTGTAATTATTACTAATTAATTAATTATTAGGTGGCATAATTGTAGCAGATGTTTTGTGCATGAATTTAGGATAAGAAGATTCTAACTTTTGTCTTAAATTGGGAATTCTAATAAGCTGACCTGATCTAGTAAGTTGTTTCATCAAAAGCAAATGAAAACTTGACACATATGCAATTCCAATTAAATATTATTTATTGAATTGTGTTTTCCAAAATAAAGAAAGCCCAAATTTTATTGTACTCATTGCATCCTTGGAATAGGAAAAAAGAAAGAAAGTGATAGGTTTTTAACTAATTCAAATATGAGATATAAATATTTATTAATAGGAAAGGTAAATTATTAATAATATAGTATTATTTTTTATCTATTTTAATTTTTATATGTTTGTTAATTAAGTTAATGCATGTCAAGTCATGACATCAATTCACTTACAAAATTATATAAAACTAGTATAGAATTATAAAATTATATAATTATCAATGCATGTTACTCTGCTTTTATTTGAGTTATTGGGTTATGGCCTTTTCATTGATAAGCAGAACAAGTTCTCTGAAAGAGTAGTCCATGAAGCCTGTTCTAGCAAAAGAGTGGAATATAAGCCTCTCATGCTCTGCTAATCAAAGATACAAATTTCTCATGCCTGGAAAAACTCAGATGATGAACCAGAGCATAAGCTGAGGCTCCAATTTCAATTCATGCATGATAAAGAGGCATAGGAAACAGATAGGCAGCTTGATTCTACAATGCAATTCTCCTAGTCCTCAAGGATAGCATCCATGAAAAGGTCATCATCTAAAATGCTATTATATTACACTAGCCAGATCATGAGGATAAACACCATGCAGCTTATAGCATAATTTAAGAAAGGAAGAATCCGAGCTGAAGATTCAAGTTGCACCAATGGGGCTGTCTGTCTGGTTGCCTTCTTCAGTGGCAAGTTGAATCAACCCCACCAGCACCATACCGACATCAGAACTTCAGGATGTGTTCTCGCCTAAAACAATTGCATCAAAAGAATAAGAACAAGATTAAAACAGTCGGAGACACTGATGCAAATAAATAAAAGAGCAGAATATGTTAGCAAAACACCAGTCATTATGTGCTGTTCATAGTTTATTTATCCTACTTCACACCACTAAAACACTGAATTAACTATATTTGGTGTAATCCCATGATGCAGGCATCTCCAACAAAACGAGATGGATTCAATGTGAACATCTAATATAAAACCACCAATTCCCACCCCATAGCTAAAACATTCAAAGAAGGTAAACATAAAATATACCAACCCAACTAGCCCAGAGATCTATTCACTTCTGCTCTCAAAATGTAAAATAGCAGCTGCTTCTATTACTACCAATGGCACTTAAATGGTGGCATATATAGATTTAGTTATTTCATTATCTTACACCTCTTCTCCCCCTGTAAACACCCAAAATCATAGTAATCAAATGATTTAAGTGCAAGAGATTACAAGAAATCACACTCTTAGATGATCTTCTATAACTGTTTTGATTAAACCAACTGAACCTGTGATAAACTAGCAAAAATATAAGTGCAATACTCGCCTACTAGCAGAATTCATGGTTTTCAAAGGATGAATTTGCACTCTTGGCCCTGCTCTTTTCCTACATTGCAGGATATCACTTCTTTCCCCTTGCTTGTCTACGCAGATGATGTTCTCTAACAGCAAGTCCCTGCCTTTTTTCTTGACGCAACCAAAGGAGTGGACTGACATTGCCACACCTTGGGTTTATGGCTTTTATGAAGGAAGGTTTTGAAGAAGAACCACCTATCTGTATTGCAGCCCTCTAGAGCCGCTTCAAGGTCGGTGCTAGCTCTATGCCACAAAAGGATCATTGCTTTGGCAAGACCAAGACCCCTGCTGATACCATTCATGGAGTACTTTATTACCAGGAAAGGGGCCGATTGTTGGCCAAAGTATGTTCATTTCACTTAGTAATTGCAGGGAAAATCGATTTATCTACAAAATGAACATTGCATGTTAATAGCCACGGTTGCAAATATACAGACATAGAAAGACTGGAACAAAAAGGAAAAACAAACCAACAGGACAGCTTACATGTAAATGTTTGGGTCTGTGACTGGATTCAACAGCTTGCCGTCTAGAAAAATGGCAATGAAGTTTTTGAAGTCATACGGTGTCCACCATTCTGATGTGATGGATAGAAGTAACATTTGGGTGTTAAACAGTAAGGGGAACTGGACCAAACTATTAAAACATTGGACCTCTTGCAGTACTGTCCGCCAATGGAGCTGTCTGTCTGGTTTCCTGGAAGTCTGGTTTCCTGTTTGTTGAGAACCCATCTTTTTCTCCTTCATATTTGCAATTTGCTATATTTCCACAAGAAAGTATCGCATGTATGATACATTCCTGCAACAAGTCAAATCTTCCATTGATTTTTAAGTTCTACACAGTACATTAAATTTGTTATTAGACAAGTTTTAACTACTTTAACAACGAAATTACATCTGTCACAATTGTTTATTAAAACTTACACATCCGCTGCTTCCCACGTGCCTTATTATAGTTTTATATATTTATTAATTCATGCTGCTTGCTGTGCTTTTATTCGAGTTATTGGGTTATGGGCTTTCATTGATAAGCAGAACAAGTTCTCTCAAAGAGTTGTCCATAAAGCCTGTTCTAGCGTAGAGTGGGATACAAGCCTCTCATGCTCTACTAATCAAAGATACAAATTTCTCATGCCTGGAAAATCTCAGATGAGGAACCAGAGCATAAGCTGGGGCAGCAATTCCAATACATGCATGATAAAGAGGCATGAAAAACAGATAGGCAGCTTGATTCTACAATGGAATTCTCCTAGTCCTCAAGGATAGCAACCATGAAAAGGTCATCTAAAATGCTATTATATTACACTAGCCGGAGCATGTGGACAAACACCATGCAGCTTATAGCATAATTTAAGAAAGAAAGAATCCGAGCTGAAGATTCAAGTTGCACCAATGGAGCTGTCTGTCTGGTTGCCTTCTTCAGTGGCAAGTTAAATCAACCCTACCAGCACCATACCAACATCAGATCTTCAGGATGCGTTCGCGCCTAAAAAATTGCATCAAAAGAATAAGAATAAGATTAAAACAGTAAAAGAAACTGATGCAGATAAATAAAAGAGCAGAATATGTTAGAAAACACCAGTCATTATGCACTGTTCATAGTTTATTTATCCTACTTCACACCACTAAGACACTGAATAAACTATATTTGCTGTAATCCCATGATGCAGGCATGTAGCTTCCATGCTCTAACAAAACAAGATGGATTCAATATGAACATCTAACATAAAACCACCAATTCCCACCTCATAGGTAAAAATAAAATATACCAACCCAATTAGCTCAGAGATTTATTCACTTCAGCCTCTCAAAATGTAAAATAGCAGCTGCTCCTATTACTACCATTTGCACTCGGTGGTGGCATATATAGATCTAGTAATTTCATTATCTTACACCTCTTCTCCCCCCGTAAACACCCAAAACCGTAGTAATCAAATGATTTAAGTGCAAGAGATTAAAAGAATCACTTGAACCACACTCTTAGATGGTCTCTGATCACTGGTTCAATTGTGCAAAGCCAGAAGAGAGCAATTATCATCATTCAAACAACATTAAGATAAAAACTTTCATGCAGATAGGAAAGCAAAGCAATACCTGAAATTTCCAGGTAACTTTTGACAGTGAAGATATTAAGTGGCAGATTCCTCACCTTCAGCCACAGCAGGGGGCAAAGTCTCCATTCCCATAGTTGTCGAAACAGTTAATGTTTCCTCACCTGTAGTTGTGAGAACAGTCGAAGCTTCCAAACCCAAGGTTGTGGGAATAGCCAAAGTTTCCTCGCCCAAGGTTGCGGGAATAGTCGAAGTTTCCTCAGTCACGGTTGTCGGATTAGTTGGAATTTCCTCAGCCAAGGTTGTTGGAATAGTAGAAGTTTCCTCACCCAAGGTTGTGGAATTAGTTGATGTTTCCTCACCCAAGGTTTTGGGAATACTTGCAGTTTCCTCGCCCAAGGTGGTGGGAATACTTGCAGTTTCCTTGCCCAAGGTTGTGGGAATAGTTAGAGTTTCCTCAGCCAAGGTTGTGGGAACAGCTAGAGTTTCTTCATGCAAGGTTGTGGGAATAGTTGTAGTTTCCTCAACCAACGTTGCAGGAACGGTTGTATTTTCCTCACCGAAGGTTGTAGTAATGGTCTGAGTTTCCTGACCCAGGGTTGCAGTGATGGTTGAAGTTTCGTCGCAAAAGGTTGGAGAAATGGCAGGAGTTTCTTCACCCAAGGTCGAAGGAATGACTGGAGTTTCTTTGTCCAAGGTTGGAGGAATGACTGGAGTTTCTTCACCCAATGTTGTGTGTAGATCAGGAGTTTCTTGGCCCACAGTTATGGTAATGGCAGGGGTTTCTTCTGCCAAGGTCACAGGATAGATAGGAGTTTCTTCGCCCAAGTTTGTGGGAATGGTAAGAATTTCTTCACCCAAGGTTGTGGGAATGCTAGGAGTTTCTTCACCCAAGGTTGTGGGAACACTAGGCATTTCTTCATCCAAGGTTGTGGGAATGCTAGGAGTTTCTTCACCCAAGCTTGTGGGAATACTAGGAGTTTCTTCACCCAAGCTTGCGGGAATGGTTGGAGTTTCATGACCAAAGGTAGCCATGCTTGAAGTTTCCTCACCTAGACTTACATTAACCATTGAGGTTTCCTCACCCAAAGTTGTGGTGATGGTTGAAGTTTCTTTGCTCAAGGTTGTGGTTATAAATGAATCTTCCTCACCCATGGCAACTGTTGAGGTTTGCTCACTAATAGTTGTAACAACTGTTGAAAATTCTTCACCTACAGTTGTGGCAACCATAAACGATCGGTCACCAATAGTTGTAGCAACACCCATAGTTCCCTCACCCGTAGTAGAGGCAATGGGCAATGTTTCCTCATACATGGTTCCGGCAATAACTGAAGTTCCATCACCTAAGGTTGTGGGAATGGCCAAAGTGTCGTCACCTAAGGAAGACGCTATCATTGAAGATTCCTCATGGAACGTTGTAGCAATGGATAAAGTTTCCTCACCAAGGGTTGAAACCATGAAAGAAGCTTCCTCGCCTAGGCTTGGGGCAATGAGTGAAGTTTCACTCAGTGATGAGGCAACAAGTCCATGGTCCCCACCTAGGGCTGAAGCCATGAGTGGAGTCTCCTCAGCTAGGGTCGGAGCATACAATGAAGCTTTGAATGATTCAGATATAGTGTAGTTGAGTTGATAATTTACAGCCACTGACCCAAAGATGTTGAACTTTCCAGCACTATTGTAGGCAACTTCTGCATCAGATGATCTTCTAAAAACAACTCTGGCACGACTGGTTTCACGATCAACTTCTGTCTCAGATTCCTTTAATGGACCGAAGTGCTTGAACATCTTATTTAGCTTTGTTTCTGAAGGAACAGAATTAATCTCAGAGAAGTTCATAACAAGTTCTGCCGGGGCCCTCTCATCAACATAGCCAGGGGGTTTTTCTGCTGTCAGATCGTGATTGGCATCAGAATATCGTTTCCGTGACTTACGGCCTTTTTGAAGTGGTTTCTCTAATTCAACAGGCACAATTTGATATTGTCCCCTTCCATTTCCATGTAATGGGTGCTCTTCAGAACCATTTTGGACTATTCTGTCAGTCCAATAAGTGTCATTCATGTCCTCAAACTCAAAAGTTTCTGGAGACCCAACAATAAAATTGGGTGACTTCTTCCTTTTGCCACCTGCTTTGTCCCCAGGAAGCTGATCCACAACCAGTGAATCTCTGAAATCAGAAAAGAAGCTAATAAAAATATTAAAAGAACTGTAACTTTTCATTGGATCACATGCTGCCAAGTGAAGTTGTGATAGCAACTCATCTAGTGATGAGTATTCAGCTGTAACATTCATCCTCTTTCGCTGCGCATCTTCAGAATTATCAAAGGCAGCATCATATCCATCTGCAGCAGGATTTTCACTGCCTCCATCAAGCTTACCCTTTGGAATCAACGGAGATCCAGTCATTTGGCTAGCAGCTCTACGGATACATTCACCAATTTTAAAGGATGGCTTTGGGAAATGAGGTGTGGTTAAAGACACTTTGGCAAGGGAAATTGTCTTCCTCCCTTCCTGCACCACTGAGTCGTCAAAGGAATCAACAGCCTTTCTTTTCTTGCCAGATGATGATGAAGGGAGCCTATTA